TTCTTGTCTACCTAACACACTTCCGACCTTTATGTAAGGCCTTGCTAAGACATACTGGCCTGCAATATATATATATATATATATAAAGATACACTTACGCTCAATGAGGTGGCCAGTCAGGGCTATTCACAACTTGATACAGCGGTTAGTTTATAGGGCATTATAGGAGACACAAACATTTATCACCATTCTACAATAAGAGATCTTTAGACAGCCTCTCCTGGTAGCTAAGGCTCGTTAACCCAATCGACTGCCCCCTCTTCTTTTAACCGCCATATTCTCCCCTGCAAAAGCGTTCATAGTACAGCCCGAGTCACGGCAGCCACCATTTGATCCGGCACTTGCCAGATTATCTTCGGTGTGAGTATGCTTTGAGACTTGTCAGATCTACAGCAGACTCGGGGATAACCAGTCGAAGGTGGTGAGACCAATGACCATGAAAACACAAAGGAGATACTGCCTCAAGGCGAGATAATGGCATGGAAAGGGTGGAAGGCGGAGGATGGGCAGGGATAGCAGCATATTTTTGGCATGCATGTACCTGAGGTCCACCCTTTCTCTTCTGGAGAATGTATTAGCATCCGGGTCCCAACCGCCAGCATAGGTCTGGACCTCGGGAGAGGCCAAGAGAAAGAGAGAAGGAGAGCGAGAGCGAGCGATGAAATCCGCCATGGCGACTATAGCGAATGGGCTGTTCTAGTTGTGCCGCCAAAGGTCTACACAGGCCAAGAGGTACCTTTCACACAAGGGACATAAGGCACGCGCCAGCGCGGCAGGACATGAGCTAATAGCACCATTAACGCAGAAACAAGTTCAGAAACACGATCTGTGTTTTTATTGAACTTGCAGAAGATCGGACGTTTCTGTCCGATCCATGATCAAGGAGACCATATAATTGTCAAACCCCTCATGTGCGAGGCTTCTCTAGTTTGACCCCCCCCGCCCGCCACCTTCCGATCTGCAACTGCACACCTTGGCATGTCTCCAACCTGGTGCAACTGATTTTTGCCCACTCTCTGGACAATAGCAAAATATCCGTCTATCCACTTTTCTGTCTAACCTAGCCGGTCGACGGATCAACCGACCACCAGCCCAAACACAGTGTAAACTCTGACATTATCATGTCGGCCTTTATCTGCTTTCCCCATTCCTTTTGGGGGACCTTGTAGTGGGGTCTAACGGGAAGGCTTCCGGCATTCCTACACTCCTCATGTCCTCTGCCGAGCCCATAGCGGAGTT